AAGTTTTAAGCCTAATCTTAAAAATAGAGAGTCTGTCTCCCGAATCCAAGCTCAGAGCTGGTTCTACAGCAGATGATCCTGAAAGCTGAAGCCTCTCCCTCTTATTGTACTTTTAATTATTGTAGGGACCACAAGTAAGCCCATAGTCTGAGAGCAAAGTGCTCTAATGGGGTGATATGGTACTACAAGGTCATTAAGATAAGATGGGCCCTGATTATTTAAGACCTTGTATGTGAGGAGCAGGATTTTGAATTTGATTCTGGATTTAACAGGAAGCCAATAAAGGGAAACCAATACAGGAGAAATATGCTCTCTCTTTCTAGTCCCTGTCAGGACTCTTGTTGCAGCATTTTGGATCAACCAAAGGCTTTTCAGGGAGTTTTTAGGACATCCTGATAATAACAAATACAGTAGTCCAGCCTAGAAGTAATAAATGCATTAACTAGTTTTTGAGTTTCACTCTTAAGACAGGATGTTTCTGATTTTAGAAAATCCAAAATAGAAGAAAACATTTCTACAGGTGTTTAATATGTGCATTGTAGGAAATATCTTGGTCAAAAAAGACTCCCGAGATTCCTCACAGTGTTTCTGGAGGCCAAGGTAATGCCATCCAGAGTAAGAATCTGGTTAGAGACCATATTTCTAAGATTTTCTGGACCAAGAACAATAAACTCAGTTTTATCTGAATTTAGAAGCAGAAAATGTGAGATCATCCTGGTATTTAGGTCTATAAGATATTCCTGTGGTTTAACTGATTAGTGTGTGTTATCTTGCTTCATGGATAGATAAAGGTGGGCATCATCGGCATGGAAGTGAAAATGTAGATTGTGCCCTCTAGTGATACTACCTAAGGGAAGCATGTACAATGTAAACAGAATTGGTCCTAGCACTGAACCCTGTGGAACGCCATAATTAATATGTGTATGTGAAGAGGACTCTTCATTTACATGAACAAATTGGAGTCTATTAGACATATGAGATTCAAACCACTGAAGCGTAGTACCTTTTATACCTACAGCATGCTCTTACTCTTAAAAATCAAATATTATGTTCAACAATATCAAACACCACACTGATGAGTCCACTGTCACATAATATTATTTATCATTTATAACTTTCACTAAAGGTACTGTGATGAGCTCTGAAATTGAAATGGAAACTGAAATTTCTTGTATATTAATGATTAACAGATTTTGTTTTCCCTCCACAGCCCTATATCATCAACATGATTGCCATTACTTTAGAGACGGACACAAAGGAAGGCAGACAGATGCTGTTCTGCATACCTTGTTTGTAAAAAGTGGCTGAGGTACTGTTGCCTTCCTTTCAGGTCAATATAGTCTTCTCTGACATCAGCAAGCCATTTTCACCAAGAGAACCACCCCTCACTAGATTCTCAAGTTTCTCTTTTTGAGACCATTTGGTGTAAACTCTAGAGTTGGTTGTGTGGGAAAATCCCAGTAGATCAGCAGATGTACCTGTAAAGTGGCTGCTGAATGTATGTAGTTTGAGTTAACTGAACTATACAGTTGCTGGTGCTGCATTCTCAGATTGTATATATTTTCTTTGTTTTCTGATGCATATAGTTTCATGAGTATGCTTTTCTCCATTTCAGCAAATTTGTTAAGATTCCCTTAAATCCTTCACAGCACATGTTGGATGGTAGGACTTTCCACAAGACAGTCAGATGAACTCTAAAACTGCTTTTTTTGGGTTCACGCTGGATTTTCTGACAAGGTTTGCCCCCTTAGCATGAAGACTTGCAGGTGGTTCAGCAGCAGGCGGGTTTGATTTCTGAATCCCATTGTCCTAGCCTTTGCCTCTAATGCCTTGCCCCATAAGGCAGCAAAGAGATTAAGAGTAGAGTAATGATAACTGAGGGGTCACTACACTCCTTCCCACGGATCCATTTTATCTCAAGTGTTAGGGTTAGGGGACTCAAAATGAGCCCCCCCCCCCTCCATTTGGTTAATAGTTAATTTAGAAAAATGTATAATTCCTCTTTTATTTTTCATAGATTATTAAATAGACTGAGGTCACTTGGACTAGTGGTGAAACGTTTCTCCCACAGAAAGCGCTACATCCAGATGAACAGAATCAACTTTTTGGAAATTATTAAATAAATCATTATTTTATTCATTGAAAACCTGAAGGCATCCTATGCCTGACTGGACACAGGAAGTCAGTATATTTGGGTCTTGTTTCCTTCTCTTCACATTCCCCTGGCTATCCTTGTCTCCGTCTCCCTCTCTGGCAACCTGGAATGAATTTTCTAACTCATGTAGAGTTGTGTCAGCGTAGGTTGAAGCTGGCAATTCATCACTGCCTGTCACTACTGCTGCATTTTCGTGTGTGTGTGTGTGTGCAGGACACCATTTTCCTGCTGTCAGAGCTTCTCTCGACTGTGTGTACCTCCATCCACTTAGCATGTCTAGTGATGACTGAAAGGGGCCATTTCTCTCTCCTCTGCTCCGTCAGCTTCCTTTGGAATCAAGATCGTGAAGGAGATTGAGGCAGGAGGGGGGAAAGGGACCCAATTATCCCACAATGCAGTGGTAGGTGGTGTTTAAATCAGGCGGTGCAACCCTTGACCTCACTCTACTGGCGGGAGACTGAGGTCCTTTAGCAAGAGGCTGTGTTAGCATAGAGGAAAGCAAATGGAGATCCATTCTGTGGCAGTTTCTGCCTCAAATTGTTGAAGCCCTGCAGCCCATCGCAGATTAGTCATTACCCTCTACAAAAGCATTCCAAGGCCAGGTGAAGCTGTCTCCTTTGAACATTAAAATGTCTGAAATTTCCCACAGAGACAGAGTGAGATTAGGTACACATCCATAGCCGATCGGGCCATTTGAAGCCCTATTAGGGAGCTCGATGCTGTAAAACCACAGCTTAACTGAGTGGATGAAGCCACTTTACTGATAAACTGCTGGCAAAATGAGTTTACAGATAATTTACTGCCACTTTCCTGCTCACTCTTGGTCTCTAGATACACACCAGGACTTGAGGAGAACAAATGACTGGGAATCAACTGGCTGGCATGGAGACTCTGAGAATAGAGGGGGTAATTTAACACGTTTATGTGAAGCGGGAAAAGCTACTCTCACCCCAGTGAACAAAAATGTGATACACTGTAAAAAGTAAAAAAAAAAAAAATCAACTCAGTTCTGTCTAAAATTTTGTTGGTTCAAGTCACTGCACGTTTTCTCAGGTTTATCCATAGTCAGGGCTGCACATGAGTGGTCCGCAGGTGCGCATTCGCTGTCAAAATAAAAGACACGCACCAGATAAGAAGTTGCAACGCGCGTTTGCGTACATAAGATTTTCTGGAACAGGACAGACGTTTGTTTAGAACTCTTAAAGATGTCAAAAAAGCAAGCGCCTTTAAGCAATTACCTCCAAAGAAATGTCAGAAGGAGTCCGAACCGCAAAAGAAGCGCGTATTCTCGGAAAAGTGGTTGCAGGAGGTGAGCTGGCTTCAAACAAATAATGAACGCACAGAGATGTGGTGCAGAATATGCCGTGAAAATCACACTCAAGCGGACAAAAACAGTGCCTTTTATATGTACGCAAACGCGCGTTGCAACTTCTTATCTGGTGCGGGTCTTTTATTTTGACAGCGAATGCGCACCTGCGGACCACTTATGAGCACCGCTGGACATAGACTTTAAATTAAAGACCAATACAGCAGATATGCCATCACACATTTGTACAGTTTGTATTGTGAATCTCCACGGTTAATGTTGGGCCTGCCACCATGTGCCTATTTTTTGGAGCCAGAAGTGACCAACAAAGGATAAAAGGCAGAGTGTAAATTATTTGCTAGCTTGGTGAACAAAGACATCCATAAATGGGATGCATAGAAACACATACCTGCTAATTTAGTATGTAACAGATTAAAACACTATAACTTCACTCACCACAATTTCAACATAACCTTGATGGATTACATTGAGTCCCTTTAATCGTAAGTGGACCAGACTATTGACCAGTAAAATTCCCAATTCTGTCTGTGTGCAGAATTTGATAGACAAATGTTGCTGAAAGAAATCTGAGAGTCAGCACGACTCTTTGGGTTAATATTCTAAGAAATAAATATGTTAAACTACAACTACTAAGCACAAGTACGTCATTGTAGACTTGCCTATAATTATAGACATGAAAGGTTTCGCGAATTAACAGAAATTACAATCTTTTTATTAATTTGTTTTAAACTGTTTAAAAAAAACTTCAAAAACCAGTAACTTTTATAGTCGACAAATTTTAAAAAAAGACTTTCCCCTTATTTAATTAATTAATTAGGTAAATAATTAACTGTTGACTTATGAAAATATAGGAAAGTAAAAAAAGTATTTTCTTTTCAAAATAGAATTAATTTTGCTTGTTTTGACTGCATCACAGACTATAACAGAAGGATGAAGTGGCCATGACATCATCAGTTGGCTTGTTAACATTTTGAAGCCTCAGGTTTCTGTTGTCCAAGTCATCACAGTAAATTCAGGCCCTTCATTACTTACTGCCCATTACTTCCAAACTTCAAGAACTGACTCTTCATTTGCTGTCTAATGAATTGCATCTCTTGGCACCAGACAATCAATCTCATTCACTTCACCTGTCAGTGGTTTGAATGTTATACAAGTTCAAGATCAATGACATTACCCACCTATTTTTTTTTTTTTTGTTTCTAAAAGTAATCAGCAATTTAGTGAAATTTGTTAGAAACAAGTTAAATGATTTCATTTAACAAACACAAAAAAGGAATTTTCTTCCGAGGACTCAGCCACAAAATAACTTAAGGGACCTTTTTGCAGTGTAGCTGTTGTCAGCAGCTTGAGGCATTGTTTAAACCTGGGGTCAGTTGTCATTTATTGGATGAGACTTTATGTGAGTTCGGTGGAAGAACTCTCCCTAAAAATCTGCCTTAATGTAAAAAGCGTGATGCACCACATAAAAGAGAGCGAATTGTAAAAACACAATCAATCAGTGCACAATGCAAGCGTAGATTATGAAAAAAACTTTATTACTGTTGCAAGGTAACATTGACAACAACATGCTTTTACCACAATAAAAAATAAAAAGATATTGCACTGGTTTTTATTCTAGCAATGTTTTTCTCCCCCATCTCTCCCTCTTAAACCCTTTCTGAAGCTTTTACAATACACAGCTAAATCTTCTTTCTCATCTTCATCACTCCTACAAGACAACACAAAGCGTGGAGATACTGCCCTTGTCTACAAGACTCGAGGCAATAAAAGTATTTTTCTTGCTTTACAGAGCCAACACAATCCCTTAATATCAGTTTAACGGATGTACGTTGAAACAGCACTGAATCTCCTGAAGTGGTGGTTCAGTGGTAATAATAACGCTTCTCCTCGTACCTCATCATATCCACAGTCACATGTTTAAATCATCTATATGCCTCATAGTAAAAGCTCGTCGATCCTTGTGATGCTCGTGAGTCAGAAGCGTAGGGAAGCTCTTCAGTGACTAAATCATAATTCCATATGTTAATCGATCCCAGGACTTGGGACGAAGCGTGGGACACCATAAGCAGGTCAGTATACTCAGTTCGATCTGTGGAGGTCAATCGGGAACATAACTGCCACATGAGAACAGAAGTTGTAGAGCACACTTATATTTTGTGGTCTGGAATCTCAACACGTTTATCATCTGTCATCTGTGGAGGTTTACAAACGATGAAACTACAACATTTGTGTTTGCAATCATAGCAAAATGAGCTTGCTCCTTGCCAGCACCAACCTCACTTTGATGCCTATTGGTGAATGCTAGCTTTCAGATGACCCATGAGGTCAAATCCACGCAAGTCTGTTAACTGGAAATGGATTACAGTCTTTGCCAAAGACCGTTTTTGCAGATTTGTGAGGCGGCAGTACTCACATTTGACTGATATTGGTCACCATTTGTTAGTTGATATATAACGTAGATTTTTAATAAGGATACATGAAAACATGCTGTTGAAACGGACTCTACTCTAGCTCCAGTTTTTCTGTAAACAGAAAAATCCAAAACTGAGAACACAGTTAAAATAAATCCAACTACTTGTTTCTTGCTTCAGTCCACAGACAGAACAGTTTTTGGGCTCGAATCTTTACACATGCTTACAATCATGTGCTCACTTGCTCAGTGGTTAAAAATCTGCCCACAGAATGATTTCTGCTCCAGGCTATTCTCTCTCCCAACACCATTATCTTGATAATGCCACAGAAAGAACCAAAAGGTTTGGACTGTGTGTATAAACAACATCCAGTATGGTCGGATAATCTCATTGACACTAAACTGTTCACTGATCAGAGGGGAACGGCTCCGTGCCACTGATGCGTTCCACAGACAAACCCAGACAGCAGAGAAATGTGCTGAATCGCCATCATTTGCAAACTCTTCGTCACATGACACAATATGAACCTATCACATTATGCTCACCTTGCTGATAATCATCCTAGCCTGTTAGAAGTTCCATTGACACTCCCACCCCCCAACACATATACACAAACAAACATAATCAACATGTAAACATAATACAGATTACCACAGTCACTGTCAAAGTCACTTTTACAGTGTCCTTAATATGCAAACTGAAACGAATGAACTCTGCTGCTCCCCCTGCAGTGAAACAAGCTCCACACAAGACACAAAACACTTTAAACACACGAGAAGAGGCCATCCTGTGGGTTGGGCTTTGTGTGCTTTGAGCTCACTTTGAAAGATCAAACTAAAAATACTAAGGATCAAATCAGTTCGTCATTAAAGTGTAAATCAGAAACAAAAAAACACTGAAATCACTGAATTAAACAAGCTAAGTGCAGTTTTTGCTTTCACCTGCAAAAACAGTAGTAGCTCTCTGAATCAGTGGTCAAACATCCGGACCGGCTCTCCTTTCAGTGACAGTTTGCCTTTCTTCCCAATCATGCGAGATCAATGCTTCGTGCAGAGCCTCATGCCTGACGCAGACATGTCGACAGCCCAGCACACATACATGGGTAGGCTGCAGGGAATTCTGGACACACACCCACGCAAACAGTGTATAAAACACAACATACTTTGAAATATTCTACACAGACGATCATGCACAGATTCCTCCTCGTGTCATACAGAAAGAAAACTTTACAGGATGAACACAGCAAGTTGGTCCTGATACCAAAGAAAAGCAGTGAAGCCTCCAGAGGCAGACGGGGGCCAAAAATAACTGGATGGAGACCCAGCAGAGCAGGGTTTCAGGTGAAAACTGGTCATGTTACTTTACATCCACTGGAATTCTTTCATTTTAAATGGTGCATCTCTGAGCGTTTCTGCTGTAATTGAATTCTGGTATAACTAAATTAGATTTTTGTAGACGACTGAGTCAATAAAAGTCGGGCACATGATCAAATCCTTTGCATCTGCAGTGCCGTACAGCAGCAATCTACAATCCTATCTCACCACCAGGACCACTCACCAAATCTGTCTCCCTGTTTCTTTGCACAGAACAGAAAAATAAAAATGGACTTAGAGGATCACAGTTATACCACAATGGGTGAGATCCACTGTCTGTTTTGAAAGAGCAAGGGCCTAATGGGACAGCCGGTTTCCCATTCCTAAAACCTGATCCCACGTCATATAAAATACTCAAACACTGATTATGGGGTCAAGACAGTTAAAGGACATCAGAAGCCCAGCTAAGAAAATCTGCAACAAATTATGAGTACGGCACAATCCTTGTAAAGAATACATGTATTGAAAAGGTAACCGTCTAAAACTGACACAATGTATGGATGTATATATCTGGTAAAACAAGAGAGGCGAGACAATATTTCAGTATTTGTACAAATCCTGTACTTCACCCTAAATGCGAACATCTGCTGGAAATCAGGACATTTCAGGGCTTAGACTATGTGAAAATGATTAGTTCAAACACTGAAGAGATACTGACTTGGCCGCATTCCTGTCCTGTTCCTCCGATACTTCACTCAGTGCGAGCCAACGCTGCTGTACAACAGCTGTGTCAGGAAGTCAGCAAAAACCACTGCAAGTTTTCATTTTATTTATTAGATGCTCTTATTTTAAGCAGTTTTAAAGTAAAAAAAACAAAAACAAACTAAAAAACTTAGCCCGCATGATAGAAATAAAACTATTAAAAACACTGGGAACAGAGTGCGTTCTGAAATAATCCAGGAAAACGATGAACTCTGCAAAATGTCCAGCAGGTGCACAGTTTGCTGTGCAATAACAGAATAAAAGTTTCAGAGACGTTCAATCGGCTGCAAAGGGTGAAGCAGACCCAGAGGGTCCTGAAGACCGACAGTGTTGGATCAACAGGGAGCACAGTGAGAGCAGAATTTGGCCTATTTCGCTGGGTGCTGCATGTACAATGACGATGCTTGACTTTTACTAACAATTCTATAATGTATTTAAACAGATTACTAAATATAATGTTGCACTTTATTGCTCAGATACAACTTTCTGTCAATCATAAGTGGATGCTCAGAAAGGAGGGATGTGAAGAGGAATAGAAAAGAGGGAGAAAGAGGAGTGCGTTAAGTAAGGCAGGTCCTGATCTCTTCGAGGAACATGTGTGGAGGCTCTGCTCGACATCAAGGTGAGATAATGAGGCAGCACAAGAGGAGTGAAAAAGCTGTGCGCGTGCGTGTGTGTACTTTTTAAAGTAGTGTCTGCTTGGACTGCTGAGCAGTACTGTGTTTCTAGCCCCTTATATGTTTGCAGAAAAGCAAAGACCCCCAAACTCCTCATCACATTCTGTCAAGCAAGAACTCACATGAACATAAGATAAACATAAAGAGCACAGAACAGCTGGATTAAAGCTGGGACTACCACATCTGGCTCTGCTTCTCAGCTCTCCTGCTGTGCGTTTACTTTGCTTTCTGATTAGTGTGATGTTGTAAATGTGTTTTTTTCCCCGAACATGCAGTTTTTCAAAGTTTTAAAACTTGGAGCCAACACTGAGCCCTGTGATCTTTACTTTTTATTCTGGTACTGTGGTAGGTTTTCTGCTACGTCTTCTTGCTGGTTGCTTTGTCTTGTTGCGAGGCAGCAGTGGTAGCTGTCGTCGTCTGGGGGTCTGACCTCTTGCGCTGAGGCTCAGTTGCTGCAGAAGTGGGTGGGGCTATGCTAAGAGTGGACTGAGTTGCTGCTGCTGCTGCTGCTGTTGTACCGAACCTCTGTGCAAATGCAGAGGTGGCGGTGTTGTCTCTGCCTGCAGACTCTGATGCTTGCCTTTCTGGAACATCTGTGCAGGATCGAGGGTGAGAAGCTGGGGTGGTCAATTTGGCTGGTCTCATGTGGTTGGTGGTGGTTGGTGAAGCAACGCATTGAGTTTTCTGCCTGTTTGGGGAGAGTTGAGGTGACTGAAGGGTCGGGACCTGTTTGGAGGGGGAGGGGAAAGGGACAGGGTCAGCAGGTGGGACTTCTGAGGCGCCACCTCTGGATGGTTTCTGCTCCTTGGTGTTGAATTTGACTGGACCCAGAACACTTTTAGCTACTGTTGCGAGCTGGGACACAACTTTGTCAACCCCACTTTCAGAAGGGGGAACTGGGGATCCTGAACTTGAATTAGAGCTGGAAGAGGATGAAGGTGAGGTGCTGAGACTTGCAGCAGCAGCTGCACACAGTCTCCGATTGTCAGCCTCCTTCTTCTCCTTAGGGATGCCTGGAGATGAGCAAGAAGTGCGAGCAGTATCGCGGGTGTCAGTGGTTTGGCACTCTGCAGTACTTGAGGTGGTCTTGGAGTCTGTGGTCTTTGGAGTACCTGTGGAGCTCTCTGTACAGGGAGTGGTGATTCTGGATCTGTCGATCATTTGGCCATCTGCTCTGGGTTCTGATGGTACAGTCTTTCCCATGAGAGTCTTTGAGTCTTTTGGAGGAGCTGGCTTAATAAAAGTGTCCTTGCTAACTGAGATGAATGCACTGCCTGGTGTGGAAAAAGGAAGGGGACCCTGAATGGTATTTGTTGTACTGCTGGGCTCTAGAACCTTCCTCTCTCGTCTTGCATCGTCCTCTGTGGACGAGGCCAAGCTTCCATCTGTTGACCCTTGAGAGCAGGAGGTCTGACTGGGCTTAGTCTCTGCAACAGGTGGTAAAGTGTGCGAGTGGCTGGGTCTGCCTACCTGAGAGGGCCCTGTATGACTGAATGTAGCATGAGGAGTGCAGGGGGAGAGGCAAAGGGATGGCAGCGTGCCTCCAGGACCTGTTCTCACAGTGGTGGGTCTCAGAAGAGGAGGTGGAGTGGACATATTCCCCCTGCGTCCATCCTGGCTGTCCTCTGAGCCTTCGTCTGTCTCATCCTCAGATGAATCCACCTCATGGATGGCATCTTGCTTCTGCAGAGACTCTCTTCGCTCAGCTCTGTCTTGCCTGATGGCTGACAGTTTGTCCTTCAGCTTGCTCTTCCCTGCTGACAGACCCAGCGAGCCAGACACCACACCGAGTGTGCCATCTCCTTCCTGCCGCCCTAACTTCCTGGATGAAGAAGAGTGTTTGTGCAGACTGCCTTTCTCCACGCCGCGTCCTGCTGAAGACAGCAGACCCTCGCTGGATGACTCCTAGTGGTCAATAAGCAAACAGACACAGAATATCCTTGTTAAAGCACTCACCATTGTGAAAATCCCACTCTTTGCACAGTTAAGAGAACAGTTACCTATCCTGAGATCTGCTGTCTGGGAAGCTAAAAAATGACAGTGCTGTGGATTCCACTGTTAGAATTTAATCGATTTCTGCAATGTGCTGTGTTCAACAATAATGTGTTTTGGGGAAAGCTAAACTAGGTTACGGGCTTGACTGTGCTGGTATATAATACAACCTCTGCAATAAAACTTTCTCTGCTTGTGTCTAAGAAAAAATAGCAATCTGAAACCCCACAGAAGAAGCAAAGCTCAGTAGACCTACAACATTTCATCACCAGTTTACACACATTTTATTTTAGCTTTAACTTAGTTACCATTTGGGAACAATAAGTCCTACACAGTTTTCTCTTATTTATCCAGTTTTATTAAATTATATTGAGGTTTTTGTGCCATTTTTTTCTGATGATGTTTTACTTGTGTGAACAATTACACACACACACACACACACAAGAAGACTTCTTCTTTACATTTTGGATCTCATTGCCTATTTGTTATATCAAAATAAAAACTTTTTATCTCCCCCACAACAGATGTATTTCCAAATGTAAGAACCATAATACTTGCATGTCCTAAACAAACTCTCATTATTATGAGTCTATTATTAGACCCAACTTTGTGTGAAGGCAGTATCTACCTGCAGGCTCTGTAAGCTCGGCTCCCTCTGCAGAATCTCCTTCTTAAACTCAGAATGTGAGATGTCCAGGCTGTGTTTACGGCTCCCCACAGCTGCTCCAACTGCCAGCTTCTTTTCTGCTGCTGCTGCCATGCCCGAAGATGAAGGAGAGTTAGTGAGAGAGGCTGCTAGTTTCTCAGCTGACTGCACCCTCTTGAGGAGTGGAGAACGTGGAGGCTCTGCACTCTTGGGTCTGGATATCTGCCTCACCAGAGGAGGAGAGGAGTGGAGCTTCACAGGGAATGACTGACCCATGGCAGACTGGCTGAGAGTGTGGCTGGAGAGTGGTGAGGGAGAGCGCTGAGGAGAGCTGCTCTGAGGGGTGGGAGAAGGTGTACGGGCCAGAGGGGAGAGGGGAATGTTGCCAGCTGACTTGCGCCGAGGGGAGCGGTACTGGCGCTGGAGCTTTGGTGCAAGTCCATGTAAGGAGCTGGGTCGAATGTGGCCGGAGCTTGCTGGAGAGTTTGGGACGCTCGAGCTGGGTGAACTGCTCTGGGAAGAATTCCCACCCACTGTGGGGTATAAAGGAAGAACAATAATGTAGCAGAGATATACCAAATATGATTCATTTTATTTTGAATGTGTGTTTTGCACATGTAAAAAAACAAAACAAAAAACAGATATACACACACAGATTAAAAAAAAAAAAAAAAACTATCCAAATGTGTGTCTCACCTGAATGCGTGGAGTCTGGCGTGGACCTGTAGCCCTGTGTTGGGCTCCGAGGTGACAGATTGTGTGTTGGTGAGCCGGGGCCACTTTCCCCTGATGACAGTGAGCGGTTTAAAGAGGACAGACTGCGGCTAGTGTGGAGGAGAGATGCCTGTTTGGTGATTTTCCGGAAAAGAGATGTCCTCTTCTTACTGTGGGAGGAGAAACAATTAATTGATCAAGAAGTGTCTGTGTAGGTTCTCAGTCATAAAAGTCATGGTCTTAGGAGCTTAAAGAGGAGGTAACTGGACTTCTTTATGTTTGTTGAAGACATTTAAACTCTCATCCAACCTGATTTTTAGTTATAAAAAAGCAAAAGGTAATAAGCATTGATCCATGCTCAATCATCCTGGTAAGTAAATTCCAAAAGGTGGATTCTGCTCATCTGGACGTAGCGTTTTCAGTGGGAGAAACGTTTTGTCACTCATCCAAGTGACTTCTTAAGTCTCAGCAGACTGCAGGTTTCCCCAACCTTATAAACAGTACATTTGCACAATGACTGAAACTAGCACCACTGACGAACAATGGGCTGCGAGGTCAGTTCCTTGATCATTAATATGCAAATTGTCACGAACATTGATCAACAACCACTGATCAAAGGGCAAAAGGTGAAGAGTCCCACTGTCATTGTCGCAACATCCCTGTTCTGGGACTGTTTTTAAACCAAAGAAGCTTCTTGGATCAGAGGTGAAATGTCTTCAACAAACTGAAACAAGTCCAACTGGTCCAACAAACTCCTAAGATTGTTCAAGAATTCTTTGCACAAGCACGCTTGTTATTGCTCGACTTGTGTGTGTATATTTCCCACCTGTCCTGTCCCTCCTTGTTCTTGGTTTTCTTATTTCGTCTTGCCATCTTGGATTTGTGGGTAGTCTTTCGAGCAGGGCCGACTTTGATGGACGTGTTCTCAAACGGGGTTGCAGAGATGGACACTTTGGCACCACTCTGAGTGACGACCAAGCAATAGAAACATTTCTTACTTTCAGAAAAAGATATCTTTAGAAAACATTGAAAGTTGTGTGTATGAGTTGAGAAGTCAAAAGGTCTGACTTCTCAACTCATACACATGCAAGGTGTAGCCTTGCATGTGTATGGTGGTAAAATTCTGTTACCACATGCAAGGTCACAGAATTTTTATCAGCTTGACTCATATCTTTATTTTGCGCAGAATCGATTCAAACAGAAAGAACACAAACAGAAGGAGAAGACTGATATTTTTGCTGTCCGCTGAAAAAGTACAAAAGGTTGTGATCCCGTACCTTTAGAATAAGCTCCACTACCTCTGTGTGAACCAGGCCGTGGACCGGTTCCCCATTAACATGGGTGATCAGGTCACCCTCTCTGAGCCCTGCCTCGTGGGCCGGTCCCCCTTCCTCCACATGCTGGCAGTGAGCAGAGAGTTAGACGAGTGTAAGGGAAAAAAAAGAGGAGGGAGAAAGTGAACGAAAAAAGTACTATTACTGCCACCTTTTGTCAAACAACAAGAAACCTGCAAACACAGTGATACTATTACAGAGTCCTTTCACAGACATCTGTTAAAACAGATGTGATAATGGGGAAAGAGCTACCACCAAATAGTTTAACAGCTTAAAACAAAAAAACTAATTTTTATTGTTAAATCTGATACAAATTGTGTTTTCAGATATCTCTGTGAAAATAGCAGCTGCATCCACAAACGTTCGTTAAAACTCTGCTATGTGCACAGCAAACAAATACGATCCAGAAAAGGAGCTACCTTCTTCCTCTGAGCCCACGCCAATTTAAGAGGAAAAGTTCAAAGCTATCCTGAGCTCTCACCAATGAAAACTTAAAAATTGTCTTGCAAAACTGATTGGTCTGTCCTGTAGCAGAGACAGACCAAGCTTGTAATCTGCAAGCAGCTGAAAGCCAGTTGGGGTACATTAGTGCACATAGGATGGGTAGTTTCTCACATCTGTGAAGGCCGCCGCAATGTATACAGATTTTGAAGCAATGTATTTTACCTTTCAAGGAAGGCCTTGTTTATTTCATCAACACAAACATGACTTTATGACTATATTGTAATAAAGCTGCAGATGCAAAACTGGCCTGCCTGCAGCCCGGACCTGTCAACTACAAACATTTATAAAGACAAACACAATAAAGGGGGGCACTAAATGTTGAACACCTGAAATAGTCTATCAAGTAAGAAAATAGAAAACATTTAGCTTTCAGAACAACTTCATTTGATCTTCTCAGTTTCCAAACACTTACAGAATTTCACTTAAAGAGAGAATTACCAAGCAAGCCTAAATGTGTCCCTGCCACAACTATTTTTAAATGTCCTGCTGGCAGTTTCAAAAACGAGTAGCCATTCATCTGCTGATGTGTTTGTTTTACTTGATATACTTTATCAAGTTTACTTTCCTTCATATCCTTAAAAGCAATGGCTTACAAATCATTACATTCTGTATTTAACTGAAATGTTATACACCCGGTGTAGCTTTAGCTTTATCCTTTTGTCCTATAGTCCACTGTTTTTAATTAAATATATATCACAAATTTACAACAACAGTCGTCTTAACACACTTTATGGTATAGGTCAAGACCCTGCAGTATTTGAAAATAAAGCCCAGCAATCAGACAAAAAGCTAATGAGCAAAAACCTGGTGACAGCAGGGAGAAAACAACTCCCTTTTAACAGGAAGAAGCCTTAGGGAAGACCAGAATCAGTCAGGGGCAGCTATCTGCTGTCACCAGTTTTTTTTTTTTTTTTTAAACATATGGTACTTATCATCAGTATCATTACTAAATCTGGTGCGACACTCACCCAGACCATGTGATGTACAGTGTAGATGTCAGAGTCACCCATGTACACTCGGATGGCTCTCAGAGTAAAGCCATACTTCTTTCCAGCTCTGTGGATGATGATGGCAGGTTTGACATTAGTCACAGCTGGAGACAGGTCCCGGCTTGGTGAAGAGTCTCGTGATGATGGATTGGATGACAGTGAGTGGGGAGACATCGGGCTGGCCAATGGCGAGGCGCCATGATGGTCTTTCAAAAAAACCAAAATAAAAAACCCAGAACAAAACACAAAAACCACACAAAGAACAAAACATGACAGATTATAGCTGATTTCATGTAGCATGGTTGCAGATTCATTCTACTCCAGTGCAAAGGACAGCAGCTGTCCACAATAATTCAAAATACTATGGCCAAGTTAATGCTGTTCATGTTGTCTTTTTGGTTTTAAGAACCTATTTTTTTGAATGTTTGAAAGCACCTGCAGGAATCATCAGTGACAGCGTTGTAGCCGAGGCCGACTTGATGACCTTGTTGAGCGGCCTGGTCGTTGCGTGTCTGTCTGCATCTCCAGACAGCATGCGATGGCGAGCCCTACGAGCTGCCAGGTCACTGATGGCCTTTGGAATGGAGGGAGAGTCGCTGTCTGCTGCAGCTTTGGCACCTCCGCTGGCAGCACCGTTACTGCTGTTGGCACGTTCGCACGCATCGCCTGAACTGCCTGCTGTATTCATATGGGAAAATTGAGGCATAACACCAAAAGTAGCAAATTAGTTCAGATCTGAAAGCTTTAAAAGATGTGGAAACAATCTTTTTCGTTCATATTCATCTTCACATTTGTAACTTTTTCATGTGACCCATTTAATCCCCCTAAAAACAACAAACCACATTAGTACTATTAGCATTAACATTTTTATCTTAGTATATAAGGTGTATAAACTACACTGACGAGTGAGCGTGGCTTTGCTCAGTTGGCTGGAGGTGGAGCTTGGTGTGGTGGGAGACTCGTCGAGCTTCAGCTCTCTTTCCACTGGAAGCTCTGGGATGGCGAGGGGCAGCTCATCACATCGCAGGCCCCTGACTGCATTTGGGCCAAGCAGGTTGGGACTCTTTCGACTTCCAAGTGCACCTTAGAAATCAGCAAATTAGAGGCACAAATAAGTTACAACTTATTATATCTCATTACATCTTTTTGAAAAAAGAAAAGAAAACATTTATGAGTAACTTCTTTTGAGCTAAGCTACTCACTGTGCTATGTGTACTGGACATGCACATGAAAGAGCCTGACAGATACAGCATATTTATCATAAGAAACTGGGGAATTTTGTGGCAGGTAAATGCAGGTACTGGTAAAAATTAAAAACTTCAGCAACAACTTGTAGGCAGTTGTTTGTAGACTGTGCTGAAGGACAGTTTTGCCCTGAAATTTGGTTATTTCAGTTTATCAGAGCTAGCCTTTCTTTACCTTGCCCTTGGCCTCCTTCCTCCTCTGAAGAGATAGCAAAGCGCGGCATCTCAATGATAGCAGAGCAGCAGCGTCTCCTGACTGTCAGGGGTGGGCTTGAATCACTCTCTGTGTGGGAAGACTCAGAGACTGACAAACGCTTCCGCAGGCTGTAAAGGTGAAGGACAGGACAAACACATGAACAGCTACTAAATAAAGCTGACAACATCATCATCATAATAATTTTTAACTAGAAATAAAGCAAAAAGTACATAAACCAGCAAACATGCTCACTTGGGGCATGCAGGGGAAATTTGGGTAAATACATATGGCCCACAGCCCACTGTGGCCGCAAGAACTGGCATGAAATGTGGGGCCTAACTGGACGACAGTGGGACATACCCACAGTATGCCCATTGTTTATGTGTGGGTTTCCCTACTGGAGCCACAAAAGGGCAAAACTGCTATGGACCATGAGGCCCGGGGCCCACGCGGGTTTTTGTCAACAAGACCACACAACCCCACAGCTCACCCACAAATACCCAATGTGGATTTGCACAGACATGTCTGCTGGGAAATATCTGTTGTCTTTTTTGTAGATGAACTCACATCTCCGGAGATCCCACCATCCAAGATCGATCTCTGGACTTGAGTCCACTCAGGCTGTCGATGCGATCTCCTCCTTCCTCACTGAGGCTGCGTTTGGTGGGAGGAGGTGTCCTCTTTTCCTCATGCAGAGACAAACGTTCCATGCTGCTGTACACCTATAAAAACATTTCTCTGCATCAGACATCATCTTTAGAGCAGAGACTCTTAATCCTTTCTGACTCTGAATATATATGTAATGCCAAAATGTTTGATGGTCCTCAGGATCAAATGGTAAGCTGCCCTGGCATTAAGAATATCCTCCAAGTGTATCAGTTCAAACACACTAAAACAATCAAAAATATGTTAGTATCTAATATTAAATTATCAAAAGGTTTTGGCTTATTTACTGAGCATAACCTTCCAAATAAAGATTCAGCTGATTTAAAAGTACAAGACATGGATGAGTCAATGTGTACCTTGCTGAAGCGAGGCGAACAGGAGGAGAATTGTCGTATCTCCACGTGTTCTTCATCATTGGTATCTTCCTCCTCCTCTGAATCCACGTGGTGGTAGCGATCAGAACGAGCTGAGACAGACACATGTTGATTGTGATGACATGACTTTCAAACAGTGAACAATCTCTGTAAGGCACTGGCAGACATACTGTCAAAGTAACTGGTGTCATCCTCTGACTCCAGTTGAGGGATGAACTCGGCTTTCTGTCTTAGCAGGCTGTTCCAGTCCAGATCTGTGAAGAATTGGTGCTGCTTCACCTCAAAGGCACTTCCTGTGGAGTTGAAAAATTAAAGAGTAGATAGAAAGGATTGAGATAGATATGGTGGGTAGGTGATGGGGGTGGAGGTGGAGTGGGGAACACAAGCATCAAAGAACAACCTACAAGTTAGCAGAATGCATGCTGACAGGGTCTAACTGAACATCTCCAAAAAAGCCAAAGACAGTGATGCGGAACACAAAAGGCCTCTGAAACATGGGAAGAAAGAGAATTACATTCCAAAAAAAGTTTTTCACTGTATACTACCAGTCAGAAGTTTGGACACATCTTCTCCCTTTGCTTTGATTACTGCTTTGCACACTCTTGGCATTCTCTCGATGAGCTTCATGAGGAAGTCACCTGAAATGGCTTTCCAACAGTCTTGAAGGAGTTCACAGAGATGCTGAGCACGTGTTGGCCCTTTGGCCTTCACTCTGCGGTCCATCTCATCCTGAACCATCTCAATTGGGCTTAGGTCAGGTGACTGAGGAGACCAGGCCATCTGGCGCAGCACTCCATCACTCTACTTCTTGGTAAAATAGCCCTTACACAGCCTGGAGGTGTGTTTGGGGTCATTGTCCTGTTAAAACATAAATGATGGTCCAACTAAACAGAAATGGGATGGGACGTTGCTGCAGGATGCTGTGGTAGCCATGCTGGTTCACTGTGCCATTCAATTTTGAATAAATCCCCAACAGTGTTGCCAGCAAAGCACCCCCACACCCTCACAGCTCCTCCTGCATGCTTTACGGTGGGAAGCATGCATGTAGAGACCATCCGTACACCTTTTCTGCGTCGCTCAAAGACACGGTGAGTGGAACCAAAGATCTCAAATTTGGCCTCATCAGACCAAAGCACAGATTTCCACTGGTCTAATGTTCATTCCTTGTGTTTCTTGGCCCAAACAAATCTCTTCTGCTTGTTGCTTTTCCTAAGTAGTGGTTTCTTAGCAGCTATTTGACCATAAAGGCCTGATCTGGGCAGTCTCCTCTGAACAGTTGATGTGAAGATGTGTTTGCTACTGGAACTCTGTGTGGCATTTATTTGGGCTCTAATCTGATGTGATGTTGGTGATGATGGACTGTTGTTTCTCTTTACTTAGCTGATTGGTTCTTGCCATAATATGAGTTCTAACAGTAGTTAAATTCTACAAATGAACCCTGACAAGGAACACTTGTGAAGTGAAAACCCTTTCAGGTGACTACATCACGAAAGTCACTGAGAGAAGGCCAAGGGTTTACAGCGCTGTCAAAAAAGCAAAGAGTGGCAAAGGGTGGTGGCTGTATCTACAATGTAGAAAGCAGTGAAAACAAAGCAAAACCATTACATGAGAAGGTGTGTCCAAACTTTTGACTGTGCAAATTAAATAAAGATAAAGCTAGACCCTGATGTCGTCTTCTCTTGCTCAAAGTCCTTTTTATATGTGAAATGGAGAACTTCAGCACGAAATACAATGTCAGATAAATCTTATACTTTCTGTCACCTTCAAATCCTGGATTATTTATTGAAGAGTTGAATATGTGCATGCAGCAACATGTGTAGTAACAGTTATTTCTACATGACTAAAATGATAAGGGAGTTGAGATGAGATGTTGGGAGTTGAGATGAATGGGTTCCAACACAATATTGCAATTTCACACAGCGGCAAAGGCAACGCTACTGATTTCTTTGAAGGTTCAGCAACCAAAGCAGTTTTACTGACACACTGCCAAGGTCAAAATAAAAATCTGCTTAAATAATTCACACAGGCATACCAGCACACTCCTATGGTCACATAAATTTCTATGTTTTGTCTTGTCTTATCTTAGTGTAGCACTTCTTTGTGGTAATGTTTATCTAATTCTTGAAAAACTCTTTTGGTAAGAGTTGTTTTACAGTGCATTACCTGTGCCCAGTCTCTCCAGAGGATTTTGTCTTAGCAGCTTGGAAATAAGGTCCTGTGCATCCTGAGGCAGAGCTTCATCCCCCTCAGGCCAGATGATCTCATCTAGCACAGTACAAAGACATGCACACGACACTTTGATCTTACTGAAATTAGTCTGTATTCATTTAAAAAAACAAACAAACAAACAAAAAAGATCAAATTCCCTCGATTCTCAGACTTTTGTCTGACTTTTGTCTACCAGTCAACCAACATTATTCAACAATGTTGGATAACACCTCCCACCCACTCCATGACACGCTGGTCAGTCACAGGAGCACGTTCAGTGAGAGACTGAGATTACCAAAAAGCACCACTGAACAACACAGGAAATCACTCCTGCCTGTGGCCATCTCTTTGTACAACTCCTCCACTTAACACACTGTATACTGCCATAGCTACACCCTTTTTGCACATGCTCTTCTTTCTTATTCAGTTATCTATCAATAAGTGACTTATATGTATATGTATATATATATGCATGTAGATATTCTATATATTGTGCTGTTTCTTACTTAGTCTACTGTGTGTCTGTGTTACTGTTTGTACTGGAGCACTGTAACCAAAATAATTTCCCGTAGGGATCAATAAAGTATTCTGATTCTGATTCATTCCTGTTTGCAACAATAACGACACTAACTCTGAGCACTAACCTGGAAAACACTAAAAGTATAGATCAATCAAGAGTCACGTCTTTCATGACAGCCCTCTATCACCACTTTGTATTAATGTGGGCAGAAGACAAGAAAAGAGACGGTGCGATCAATACAGGTTTATGATTATTGATTAGGCCTATCATCTAAGGGAATTCAAAAGGGGAAAGGAACACAGCAGAAATCACAATTGATTTTAGTCCTTGCAGAGAAGCCTGGGCTCCTTTATTGCAGAGCTGCATCTAAACATTTCTGAAGAAGTCTGCCGTTCTCGCTGAGGCTGGGAGTCAGCAGGCTCAAATGTTTATTACTCTGATTACAAAGCGACCAGTAACTACACAAAGGGTTTAAAGGGTTAAAACCCACATCTGCATGGAGTGAGTTAATACTAAGGTGTTATAGGGATATCGAGCATTGAGTCCTTAATGCTAAGTCTGAAGTTCAGTTTTTAAAATTAAAATTCTGAACTTCAACAGGTAACAAAGGATCAAACAGTCAGGCTGCTGCCTCCATTTCTACATGTTCATATTTCTAAAGCAGAATCACTGTGGCGATCACGTTTAAGTGTCTTTGTGCTGCTTTTTAACTGTAATTTGTGTTACTGACTTCGTGTTCATACCTAGAGAGAATCGGAAAGGAACCGAAATTGTCTAGTCTAAGTCTAATCAATGCCCATCCCTAGTGATGGACTGATAGATTAATGTGTATTATATGTTTTTATCTATTAAGTATAAATATGTAAGTGAAAGCCAAATTACACTCTGCACGTATTTCTTCTTATCCTTCAATTCCTGTTTATTGTGATGATCATCATTAACCTTCACCCTCTTTCTCTTTCAGCCTTATTAACCACCGACTGTGAGGCTCACTTATGAGCACATTAAGCTATGGGAGCCTGGCTGACTCTCCTCCTCTACTGCCCACCTTTGTCTTTGGTTTAGTAAATTATTCTTGCATTATTAAAAACCCTTTGAACTACAACAACTTTGTGGCACCTTATATATTGGGATACTCCTGATTTTACAAAGTACAACATTAATAAAAAGCTATGAGCAGGTGATGTACTCACCACTGATAACCTGACCAAAGAGCTCCTCTGGAGTGTCTCCGAAAAAGGGAGCGCAGCCCACCAGGAACTCATACAGGATGACTCCCATTGCCCACCAGTCCACCGGCTTGCCATAGCCCTGACGGAGAATCACCTCGGGGGCGATGTACTCTGGAGTGCCACAAACCTGCAAAAGCAGAACGTTAGCTCAGCACATGAAAAACACACACAAAAAAGTATTTATTCTGTTTTGTTAAGGAAAAGACAGGCGTAACTTCTGGGTCTGAAAAGTGAAGCCAACACTATGCAAACATGCAAACACTGCCCTTGGGCTTTGTCTCTGTAAAACCTTTCTGCTGAGTTTATCATACATACGGAATAAAACATCAAATTCATTTTGTAAACTGACATAATTCAAAGTTTAAGAAAGGAATCGGGGGTATGCTCACTGACTAACAACTTCTGAATGATGTGAGTGTGCAGTTTCACAGTCAGTCATAACATGCATACATAAGCCTTAAAAAGGAAAAGAAATAAGCTCATACCTGTTTATCCAGAAACTCTCGGGTGTCTTTCTCTATGTGTCCTTCATACAGATTTGTGGTCAAACTCATCAAACCGATTTTAGAGAGGCCAAAGTCCGTCAGCTTGATGTGTCCCATAGATGTGATGAGAAGACTGCACGAGAGAAAATTGAAAGTTTCTGTCCAGACAGCAAATGTTGGAAAAACAGTGCACTATTTCTATTAGTTTCTCACCTTAGTAATAACAATAATCAATAAAATCATAAACAAAGAAAACACATATGAGCAAATTATGTTAAAGTAATTACTGCGAAAAAACACTGTGAAAAAGGCTTCAGACTGCTCCAAACACTCAGCTTCAGGCAGTATTGTCTAGTCATGGTACAGTGTGATGCCATGGCGAGTGGATATCCCTATTTTAGTTATCTGAGTCTTACTTGTCAGGCTTGAGGTCTCTGTGCACAATGCCATAATTGTGAAGATATTCTAAGGCGAGGACAGTTTCAGCAAAGTACATACGAGCCATATCCACAGGCAAGGCTCCGATATTCTTCAGGAGTGTGGCACAGTCGCCACCTATAGATGACACATGAGAGTTGCAATATTAGACAACATAATACTACTACCACCACTAATGGCAACTAGTAATTATCTTACCCTCCACATACTCCATCACCATGCACAAGTGTCTCCTGGTCTCGAAAGAACAGAACATTGAGACAACAAAGGGGTTCTCAGCAAATGTTAGTATGTCTCGCTCTACAAAGGCCTGCTGGATCTGGTTCCTCAGGATCAAGTTCTGCTTGTTGATCTTCTTCATAGCAAATCGTTGCCTGGTCTCCTTGTGACGTACGAGAAACACAGCCCTACACAGGACAAGAAAGGTATTCAGGTTTTACAAAGAACTTAACATATATTAAAAATACAGACAGAGAGATGGGTTGAATGCTGTTGTACCCATAGGCTCCATTACTGATGAGCTTGATATTTTCAAAGTCCTCCTCTCGAGGGGTTTTGGCTTTAGTCTGTGGTGATCCTGCTGGGACTGTGGCAACTCGAGTCTGAAACACAAAAGCAAAAAACATGAAAGGTTTTCAACCCAAAGAGAAGAACCACGTCTAGTCACTGAAAAAAAGAACAATTCAAAAAAATCTTTATTGTATTTTCATAAATGATTAGTAAAATTCACCCCTTTGTATGTTTCTGAATCCAGAAGTTGCTTGAAAAGTGATTTCAAATTGATTAGATGATTAAAATTAAAGTCAATTAAACTGATTATATTTTTGGTCTACTTTCACAGATTCCTATTTAACACTCCTTCATTGTATACTCACGTCAACTGAATCATCTGTCTCTGGGGTTTCTGGGTTTCCACTATCATAGCTGCTGAGCTGAGTCATTTCTACAACGAGACACAAGGATCAATGACCAGGAGAAAGAGGAACCGAGGGGGGCAAAGAAAAACACAGTAGTTAACCAGTTAAATAAGAAATATTTAACGTCTGCTGATGTTACCCTCCAGAGGGTCCCTGGTGAGGCCCAGCTGGCTGATGATGTATCGGGGAATGTCAGACTTAATGCCCTGGCCTTCTTTTGCATGGCCTTCAGCTGCTTCCAACAAGTGGTAGAACTCCTCAGGATCAAACTCCTGCAAAGGAGGGAGAGTGGAAGGAGGTCATGAAGCAGGAGTGGCATAAAGAGAGAATGGAAGAGACAAATCAAAGCTTAAGGTTCAAAATCAAGTAATAACAGAATGAGAATCTATTTCTTTTGGTGCCAAAATGGTTCCTACAATCTCAGGTGTGTAAGTTGTTATTACAGCTATGACACATGCGAATTTAAAAGGTTGAAAGCCTCGACCTGTCCAGACTTTTATTAGCTGTTCAGTCTTTTGCCTTGCAATAATAACAATAAACAATAACATATAATATGAAGACTTCTTTGTGTAGTTCTGTATCTGTGATAATTCTCCGGTAACAAAATATCATAATTTAGCACAAAATGCTCCCGTCCTGTTTGAGTCTAGACACGGAGAGAAACAGAAATTCATCTGGTTATCTTATTAGATCAAGATATTCAACTCTGATTTAAAGTTGCCCCAACAACAGCGCTGCACAGAAAAAAAAACACAATCTAAACCTTCTGTGTGATTCTAAAGCAATCACAGAGTGAAGACTTGGATGGTGCTGCAGACAGGACAGGAGGTTTTGCTGGGCAGAAACTTCTGTGTCCTCTGACTAAGACATACTGCCTGATTATTCCCTTCTTGTGGACACACATAAACACTTCCTGCCCCCTCTTGTCTCTCTGTGCTTTCATTTGTAAAAACCCATCCTGTTCAGTGTCACAGCTTCAGCTGTATGCAATTAGTCAAAACTACTGATGTGAGGACTGGGGAAACCTCCCCTCTTGTCCTCCTCTTCCTCATCCTCTACTGCCCCTCCAGTTATCCCTGTCTTCTGCACTCCACATCTTTCTTTCTTTCCCCTTTTCCCATTCTTTTCCCTAATGTCAAACTCCTGGGCTCACCAATTGCTGGTTCCATCTATTAGGCTGAAAATGTGAACCATCTCATCCAGGGATACAAATTGAGAACCGGTTCTTGTAGAGAACTAGTTCCCAGTAGTCCAATTCCTTGGAATTGTTAGCCTGCCTGCCTATCGATCCCACTTATCGGTTTTTGCACTCGCACTACAATCCGCTGATTTCAGTTCACGTGTCAGAGGAGGAAAATAATGACACAGTTTAGAGTGTGGATACAGACTTTTTTTTTATCGTACAAAAGGACGAGATATATGGTAAAGTGGAAAACTGCTTCCAGGACAGAAACAACAACATTATGCTGCTTAAACACCTATGTATGTATTTTTTTAGTTTGTATGTAATGGTGGTGACTCTCAAAACAGAGCCAATGAGAAGCTAATGACAATCGATAAGTGATATCAATAATGGAATCACTAAATTTGTACCAACTCCCATCCCTAAATCTCATCCCAAAATCATGGAGGTCCTCTGAGAGAAGTTTGAATAGGTGACAGACAGAAAGAAAAGAAGCTCTGCTGTTGTCTAAACATAATGTTGCTGAGAGGTGTTACCTTAAGGGAACTCCTTAAATCGTATGTTCCTGCCAGAGCATTAAGATCATCTACTCAGTTACTCTTGGTGCAGCCTAGATCTCGGCTGAAGTCTAGAGGTGACCGGGCGTTTGCCCTGGCTGCACCAGAGTTGTGGAATAACCTTCCGATTGTGATCCTGGCGTCTGATTCCATCCAATCTTTTAAATCACGGTTAAAAACCTATTTTTTTAATCTTGCCTTTCCTGCTTGTTAATGCTCGCACCTGACTTTTAGACATATTCTATTTTTTTTAATACATATTTTTATGGCTTGTGCTTTTATTATGTTTTTATTTTGATATGCATTTTATATTACCTCTGTGTATTAGTGGTATTGACCTGTGAGGATATTTGATACTTTGCTAAGGCCTTATAATACTCGTGTTACTTCTCTGTCTCTTTTGTTAAGCACTTTGGTATACCGCTGGTTTTTAAATGTGCTCTATAAATAAAGATTGTTGTTGTTGTTGTTGTTAATGTGTGAGCATGTGTGTACATTAGACTGTTTTGAAATACCCATAAATTAATTTATTGTCTTAAATTTCCACCAAGGAGCAGAAAGCTCTAAATTGCATTTTTCAAGCATTTATGGAGTGAATCTGAACAGTATGAAAAAAACAATTCCAGTTAATACTAGTAACTGAAATGCAAAAAGGACTCAGTAGATGTTGAGGATAAGCAAGCAGGGCAAGGTTTGGTGAAAAAGGTGAATAAGCTTCATATTTAAATAAAAAAATTAATTAAAAATCATCTGGAAGGTCTGTGAAGGTCTTTCTTACCAGACACTCGAGCAGACGAGCGGGCCGGGCGATTATGATCATCAGCTTCTTGACAAGTTGTGTGACAAAGGTAACCTCTATGCTTTCAGACCGCTCATGAGCCTTAAAGAGAACACAAGAGGACTCAGGGTTAAAGCAAAAAGTGTACAAAGAATAATTATTACAAATATTCCCTGCGATATTAAATTCAAATAGGCAAAAAAAAAAACCAATAACAACAACAAAAAAAAACAGCTAACAAACAAACAACTCAAATCTGTCAGGACAGAACAATAATTCATCAGTGTGAACTTTGATGACCTTGGACTGTATAGAAAACGTCTCTTGTGCTGGATTTGTCCTTCATAAACAAGGCAGAACAGCCATGAGGATGAACAGATGGTGGAGTCCTTCTTTCATTGACACCTGAGAGGTAATCTAAATCAGAAATGACCTCTGCCTCACTCCTTCGTATCCACCATGAAATGTCTGCCAGCATGGAGACAGAGCAATTTACTCAGCAATCCGTTGTAACTGACTGGAGATGCAGCTGGAGCAAACACTGACCCCTGGAAAGAAATGGGGTGGAAAGAAAGTGCATCTGTGTGTGTGTGTGTGTGTGGTGACAAACCTGCCACTGTAACAAAATAAAATAATTAAAGAAAAACTGTGTACATGTGGTTTCATATGTGCACATTTGTGAATGTGGCATGTATGCATGTTTTTATAATGTATGTATGTGTCAGGTGGGGTAACACAGGGGAGGCGGCTGCTCATAAACAAAGCGTGGCTGACAGGTTGTTGTTTGTCTGACAGATGCAGAGGGCCCGGGGGCCCCTATAACCCCACCACCACCACCACCACCACCCTTGAATTATCTCTTGAATTATTTATAACTGTAATGAAACCTGGAGGGAGGGAGTGAATATCTACTGTATTGGTCTTCAACTATATGTATCTAAGTATAAAGGAGATGGAATATTATGTATGTGCGTGTATGTGTGTGGTTACTGTAAGGACCAGCGATCGGTGGTAACGGACAGCTGAGGGATAGGCTCCCCCTACATAGAGACTAATTATCCAGAGACTATGTGAGAAAGAGACAGCCGGCATATTTTAACACTGTATGGTCAACATAAAGTGACTCCCTGGTGGGTACACAGCATACATACAAGTCCTTTAACATCTTGAATCCACATGCACAGTGTGATCTTTTTAGATTTTAGTGTATTACAAATTTATTCTATTATGCTAGAATGACATGGATTGGACTTTTATGTTTGGTAAACGCATAGCGATTAACCATGCTGAGCGATACACACAGTTATTACAACTGGTGCCAAAAACGTCATCTTCAACATCCTTTGTCTTCATCAGCGGAGCACTGCTCGTCTCGTCAACAGAGAAGAAATTAGTTGATCATTTCACTTATATTGAAAAAGATCAACTAATTTTCCTTAACAAATTCAATTCCTTGTGAATCATCAAGGCTGGTGTGAAATGAATACTGTAAAACATGCTATAATTCCGATTACCAGTGAAGCATATTATATAGCCCTTGAGTAAATATACTTAGTAAGACTTAATTAAACTAATTTAATCCTAATTTAAGAGTGAAATTCAGGAAATGCTGGAAACTGTTGGTAGTGAAAGTGGTCTCACCAAATGTTTAAGGACTTTTCAGGTTCATTTATTTATTTTAACAAATGGTACAATAACTGTTTTTGTTCAACTAAGCTTCAATTTTGTTTAAAGGGAAGTACATGTAAGTACATATAATTTGTCAGTATCTTACTGTAAAATGTTCACAACCTTAGCTGCATTTCTGCAAATATAAAATAAATAAATTATATTTATGTCCTTTTCTTATTTAAAAAAATGCAAGTTTTTTTTAAAGATCAGAGGTAAATTCATTAAGTCTAACAGAGAGACGTGGGGATCACAGATAACCTAATGCAACAATATCACAATGCATGGTGTACAGAAATGATGTCATCACACAGCAACACTCAGTACAGTGGAACAAAGTCACTGTGAGCTGCTTTTCCTTCACTTCAAATTCCATTTTCTTTGCTTTTATTCATTTGAAAAGTGCCACCACAAGCACCTGTGAAGAGGTGAATGTGAGATGTTTAAGAATGATTTAATGTGAATTTCTGGTGTTAATTTAGTTCAGTTCAGTTCAATTTAATTTATTTAACACCATAACATGTGGAAGAAAAGATCTTTTTCTCATGCTTAACAGAGAGCATACATCATTTCCTCCAAGCAGGTCACATTTGTACCTGAATTCAGCTAAAATACTATTAAAAGCAGATGTTTGCAGCTGTGTATGGCTTGTGGCAAATCTGTTGAAGGTTCAGAGTGAAGGATGGACACTTAGTGACAGATCACTAGAGCTGAGATAGCTTTCTACAACCCTCTGCCCTCAGGTGACCTCCAGGAGTCTAACAGGGTCTCCCAGGGGTTCCAGCAGAGGATGTCCTGGATGGAGGTTGCCATGGTGACCGCCAGACAGGTCACTAAGGCCTCGTGACAGGGATAGATGACCGAGAGGAAGTGAGTATGAGCCAAAGAAGAGGGGTGAAGGTGGAGGACAGAAAAAAGACAAGAGAAGGACAGGAGGAGGAGAGTTTAGTCGGCCTCCTGTGAATTTTGTAATGAGGTCATGACACAAGGAAAGGAAAGAAAGGACACCAAAGAAGGGGATAAGGAATGATGATAAAGGAAAAGGACTGATAATTGCAGAAACCAAAAGGTGTAGGCTGGTAAAAATGAAAAACAAGGGGAAATGGGTTTACCAAACCAGCTTTTCAAAAATGAGAAAGGCTCATTTCTCAAAGTTACTCTGTAACTGGCTCATGTAAAGTGCAGCGAAGCATAGTAAAAAGCCACTGAGAGAACATACAAACTATTATTTTTTTTACCATTATTCCTGTAAAATTACAGGGTCAGTTTATCAAATGGCAAGTTTCTGTTGAGTTTTGTCATTTTCCAGTTTCAGCTTATTAAATTCCACTTCACACACGCTCACTGAGTGGCACACAGAAATTTCACTACAGGGGAAAGTGAAACCATCAAGCTTCACGCAGTTTGTTTTTTAGACTTTTCTACAGTGTTTCTCTGATTTTTAAGGGAAACAAAGTTAGACAGGCAGGGTTGAGATTGTTCTAATATTTGCATTGATGGGATAGTAGCTATACCGGACAAAGGATGTTGAAGATGGAGTCACCAGGCAGAAGGAAAAGAGGAACCACAGAGAAGATTCATGGATTTAGTGAAGGAGTATATGCTGAGGGTTGGTGTGACAGAGGAGGGATAGGTTGAGATGGAGGGCCATGGAAGAAAAAGAACGCCTGATTTATTTTAGTGATCAAGTTATCTCGGGATAAAAAGCCTTCATTTAAGGTGTTCCTTTTGGTTTTTGACTCACTGGATCTGTGATGGTCAGGTCACCTGTCCAAGGCGTACACTTCGCCCAATAAAGATGGCATTGATTCCAGTTGGATAAGCAGTTAAGATGGACAAGATGAATGACATTCACTACATCAGGCAAAATGATCAATTCTGATGTAATTATATTTACAAATATAATGAATGAAAAACTAGATTAACTCTCTGTTGAGATTTCTCCTGTTAAAATAGTAAATATCAGATAATGCATCACCTTTCTGAGCTGACTTTTGAGCCAACAACAGCAGCATTTGGGAAGAAATTGCTCACAAAGTCGCACTTAATGCCACAAAACACTAGTTAGACTCAACTTGCAGATGAGGGGTAAGTATAATACAACCCTAGTATTGTTTGACACAAAGCAACTAGCTGATTACAACAATTGCAATATGGGTGTATTTGTCATCATCCTCTGAAGCATGCTCACTTCTCTTTTATGAACCTTTCAAAGGCTTTGTTTGTAGAACAATTTACATTTATTTAAGTTACAAGCTACTAAAGCCAGAGAAAGTAGTGCAGGCAACTCCTGAGGTATGACATCAGATCAGCAACATTCAATTTACCTTCGAGTCTGATCCTCAACAACAATGTAACCGAGTCTCAACGTCTCAATAAAGCTACACTGAATCAAACCGAAATTGACTCAACTGTAAAGTCGGCATCTGTCCCTTCCTCCTCCCAGCAGTCCATGAACACCTTCCACTCGCTCCTCCTTATCACCTCCTCCACCTCCTCTTCTTCCAGCCTCCTCTGCCACGAGGTGCGATACATGTCTCGGACAAACACCCACAAAAATTACGTGGAATTCCCATAAATGAAACGCGTGCTGAGGTTGTCTTCACAGCTGCATCCACCTGCTCACAAATTCATTTTCTGAGCTGTAGGTCACTGTAGGTGTAGCTTCACCTGCTGCTGCACTTGGCTATATTACAAAAAACAGAAGAAAAAAAAAACAGTCTAATGTCGCCTAATTGGTGATGTCATCATTCAGTCCGCATTGCTGCATTGCCATCTGAGCTGGGAGCGCTTCTCCAGATGTGCACAACCCGAGTTCCTCGCACCCTCCAAAAGACTTTGAACAGGCTTCATGCATGTACATCCACCTCCCCTTTCTTCTGTGAACCTGCTGGCCAATCGAAAGCAGAGGAATCCCCTCCAATCCTCAGCCATCCCAAAACCTTTCCACTGCACCTCCTTGCGTCTGGGAGAGTCATCCATCAGTCCCCAGTGACCACTGAAGTGTGAAATTAAAATCGGAGAGCGTGTGTGTGCTTGCCTGCATATATGTGTGTGTCTATGATTGAGATATCTTGTGTTTATGTGTCCCAGTAGAACAGAAGGTCAATAAGAGGCCTGTGGGAGCCACAATATCACACCCTCAGGCCCCCGAAAACTGAGCTAATAGAGATGTCACCACCGCTCACACATGTGTAAGTACATTTCTGTGCTCTGTCATGTTGATATTTGTGTGTAAACGGACATGAGGTGTCTGAAATAATTTTGTCACACCAAGCGAGTAAATTTAAATTGATTGACGGAAATATACAAACTGTTTATGAAGGAATGTGTGAGAGCCCAGGAAGTCTTAGGTCTGTAAGGAACGGCAGCCTTTGTGCATTCATAAGACATGTAACGATACTTGCAATGAGTGAACAAAGGTGTGTGTCACACTGTAAGTTGTTGCACAGTAAACCAAGCATGGCTGGGATGGTACTATACATGTTGTGTCTTTATTTGTGTATTTTTAAAGAGAAGAAAATAATGAAAAGAATTAAATAATTAAAACATTTAGAGGTCTCTAAAATCAACACTGCAGTCTACACCTGGTCAAAAGTGTCCGAGCTGATTTTTGTGTGTCTGTTTGTTTGTTTTTTAGAAGTGCATGAGGAACACAATTGGAAGCAAATGAAGTTCTTATATTTAGATTGCTCTTACACGCTTTATTCAAAGGAATGATTAAGAATTGGAAGCAAAAGTGGCTTATTGCTGGACTGTGAATAAACTTGTGAATCAACTTACATCTTGCAGCAGCTTCTCCAGATTCTCCTGGAGTTCGTAGAAGTAGCGGGAAGTGATGAGGTCCTCTCTGCTTTTCTCCAGGCAGTCTCTGGACAACTCTATAAGCTGATGATGAATGAAGCTCAAGACCCCGTCGGCCAATGGGCAAATCTTCTCTGGGGCCGAGGAGGCAAGCAGCTCGGCCAGACGCTCCTCCATTTGAGCTGTTGCCTGAGGGGAGGAGGCGGAAGGCAATTACAGGGTGGGGAGAAGGATGAGTCACACATAGGTACGCTCATGTGAGACACATGGAGAGACAGTAAACGGCACGGCTATAAGATAATCTCATATGTAAGGGAAAATCCCTTCTAATTGAAAAATTAATTATTCAAAAATGATGTTTGATACAGGCCTGAAATATTGTACTCAATGAAACACTAAACTTCTAGTCTTTAGCAAAATACATCATCTATGTCACAGTAATTGAATAAATACTTAAAGGGACAGGTCAAGAAGAGAGAAATATGGAACAGAGACAAACACTGATGTCACATATTAATAAGAAATTAATTTTGAAAATTTTATTTCAAAATGCTGCTCATACAGCACTTACTGCAGCTGCTTCATTGAATAAAAACAACTTGCAATAATATTTCAGTTGTGTATAAATCCTGTATTAAATAGAAAATAGAAACAAAGCAAACTCATCGAACTCTTAGACTTCATCAGCCAGATCATTGGACAGCATTTCTGGATTTTTTTTTACGCATGTGCATATCTCTGCATGCTGGAGTCTTAATTTGCACTTGTGGATGTGCAGCCTTACTGCACAGTAATGAACAACATATTTTTTAAAGCAGTTCTGCATTAGGGCTTGAAAATATATGCTCATTTTGAATATGTTCTTAGCACCAATTTTTTAAATTACTGTGGTGCATCTATTTTGTTTTTTAAAGTTATGTTCTCTACTCAAATTCAGACAAATGCTGCAAAATTGATGGTGCTGGATAATGAACAAACACATAGCAATCCAAGTCTCTCTAGACAAAGAAATGAGATATTTGACCAAGTCAATGACCTGATATTAGCCTAATAGAGCATGATTTTCAGTTGTTAAACTGACTGCACAAAGATTCACAAACATGCAGCAACTAAAGCTGGCTGAGTAAAGGCCTAGCAGAGCATCTCGATGGAGGAAATGCAGCATATGTGATGTCCGTGGGTTCTAGAAAGCAGTTTTTTTAATCCACTTCTTAAAAACAATCTTAAAATGTTGAACTACGTATAATGCAATTTACATTCTTTAACAGTTAACTCAGTATATTAGCAACACGCCATGAATTAAAGCTGAACGTATACGCTTTAGAAACATCTTGAAAGACCGATTTAAAATCCACCGGGGTGGTGTACAGAGGCAAAATGACAAAAACTGTGTCAATGATGAAAACCTAAAAAACACAACTAATATCAAAATACCATTGTTGTTTTTAGAGGACTGCTTAAAACTGTATTAGTGGCTATAGAGATGAAATGTGTTCATTGACTAACTTAAGCAGAAGGTGTCTGAGCCCATGCACTTATTACAGAATCAGGCATGTTTTTGATGTAACGCTGCGGTTCAGCACTACTTCTCAGCGTGCTCCCTTGCTCACAGAAACATCTGTAGATTTTTTTTTTTTTAAATACACTGTGTACTGAAGATGATGAAATCCCCAAATTCTTGCAGTTGTCCACACAGTAGTGAACTCTAAACATTTTTAACTGCTTGTTGTTTGGATTCTAGACCAACTTTGAAAGCAAAGACTTAAACTGAGGTTCTTGCATTGTTGTTCTTTTGTCCATCCCTTTTTTTTTTTTAGCACTTCCTTTAGTTTCTTTAGGAACTGTGTGTCAGTAATACAAACCTTTGGGAATCTCTCCTTGTACACATGGTTCATCATCATAATCTCATGGTCAAAGGACACAGGAGAGCGCCCAGGGCTGAAACAAAGCAAATAGAGATAATCACCAACTGTAAGCCATTAAAGTCTTAGCATGCCTTTAGTTAAATGTGCTGACAGGCAACAATTATATTCAAAAAGCCTAAACTGTTTAACATATGCTTTCCAGGACAGTCGTAGTATGTAGCTCATCAGGAAATTGTTCTGTGTATACCGTGGAACCAAAAATATGAGCATGTGATGCACAAACACTAGCATTTGAAGCCAAATACTTGTGAGAAGGGATCATGTGAGCATCCATAGATAATTCAGTACATAAGTTTAACTGTTCACTATGTCAGAATTAATGATAGTCATGGTCCTCTAGTGTATAAAGTAGTAGACCCAAACTTTAAATCTCCAGATGGTAAAAATGAATAGAATTTCTTTAAAGATTTTCTGTAACGTACATAAAAAGCAAACTAGTATAAAGCAAAGACAGATTTTTTTTTTCTCCACAGATGAACATTTAGAAAAGTTCTGGTGCTGGTTTGCATTCTGAAAAAAAAGATCCGCCCTGTCAGAAACAGGCCTGAGGAAACTGAAGTGACAGACAGGCTCGGTCAGCTCAGAGCAGAGGGGAAGAGAAAAGGGATGGTGCTCACACACAATAACAGAACCTGGGGGTCTTCATCATACGTGCATCTTCAGCGGTGTCAACCGAATACCATGACATCCTCTAGACTCACATGGTTGCACACACTGAGCGGCGCAAAGGTAACGCCTCTGGAGGCTGGCAGACCAACGGACAGCATGTGTGCGTCAGTAATAAGCCAGGCATCTTCTCTACTCGTCCAGCTCCGTGCAGCGAGTCTCCATTAGTCCTCGGGGGGTTTTCATGCCCTGACAGACTGACAGTGATGTCTCCTTTAGTTCATACTAGCACCAACAGTGGACTTCATTTTCTCTGTATTGTGCTTCTCCTGGGACTCATCTCTTTTCTTATTCTATCATGAACCAACCCCCACACCTGACCTCTCTCTACAATAACACAAAACAGCAACAGCAGCAATACCCTTGACCTTTCCATGTCTCACTTTCACAATATGAGATGATGACAGGTGGAAGGCAGTATGTGTGTGTATGTGTTTTAGTCACGGAAGAAACATTTAATTCTGAACAAGGCTTTGATAACCTTCGGATTCATTTACTATCATATATGAAAGTGAAAACTGCTTTCCATACGATGAGCATTTTAGTAACTTTAGGAATCTGGCACACAACATATCTTCATCTGTTTTAAACCATTAGTTTGGTTGTTATTAACTGTTTCTGGAATGATTTTAAATATCCTTCTTGAAGATACACTGTCAGTACATTTGTTATAAACATCTATCATATGTAAACACGGCCATAAATTCAACTGTTATTAAAATTGTCTAAGCTTGCCTTTAGTGTCACTCAGAAACAACTTGAATACATGTTTATTACTAGAAGGGTGATGCCAGTGTACGTCAGCACACTGGATTTTAAATTCTGCTCCCCCTTGTATGTAAATGGTCTGAGCAAAAGGAGGAAAATTAATGAAGGCATCTCTATAACGCAGCCCACTTCCATCCGTTCATCCATTCATCCATCTATCAATGTACATCGACATCTATGGTCAATTTAGCAAGCGCTAAGCTATGTACAGGGTGTCTTTTGTCCTGTTTTCCTCCCATCACCCCCAGCCTGGCTGGAGTTTTGTCTCTATTATTGTAGGGTCTTTATCTTACAATATAAAGCACCTTGAGGTGACTTGTTAAGATCTGAGGTTATATAAATAAAATTTAATTGCACTGAGTGTATATTTCCTCTGTTTTTCAAGAGGCCTAAAGTGACTTTTTATTGCACTTACAACTTAACTTCCTAAAGGGTCATCACATCAAGGGGGTAAAACATTTTTGCTAAACTCAAATATAGTAAAATATCTAATTTTACAAAAAAAAATTATTTGACCTGAAGGCCAACCAACAAGTTACTTGTTTTTAAAATGAATTGAAATCTTAAGAAAACATTAAAAAAGGAAGTGCAGAAAAGAAACCTCACAATTTCTGCAAACTTGAGAGACTTAATATGACTGAGGTTACAAACCCCCCAAACAAACACAAAGACATTTTAGCCACCACACATCTGTTAGTATGAGTCACTGATAAACACACAAATATACCCGTGCACACAAGCACATACATGGTGACCTGTACCATGAGGTAATGCTCTGAGTCATCAACCAGCAGCTCAAAGTCCAATTACGAGCGTAATAGGAATGAGAACAGCCTGAACGTGACAAACATGCTGAACGTCATGAGCGCAGTTTATCACGCTGACAGATGACCACACACACACACACACACACACACACACACACACACACAC